CAACCACATGTTGTGCAAAACCCAAAACCAACTCACCATCTCACCATCGAGCTCCCCCAAGTTTCAAAATGACTTGGCCATGAGATTCCTAACTACATAGTGTGAGCTACAGACCAATGAAGCTCACTTGGGACTACAAGATAGGGACTGAGCCACTTAGAATAAGATTAACCAACATGACTATAGCCAACCAGACAAGACCAAGATGAACCACGCTACAACAGGACCAATTAAGCACCTAAGAACCACCAATCAACGAGGAACACTAGAAAGAAAACCTGAACTTAGAAAAGTGGCCAAGGGTCGAATAAGAAAGAAGGTGACCAAAATTGAGGTCCATAGTATGATTTATAATCTAATATAATGCAAGATATGTAAGTCTATTATTTAAATTTAGAAGAATAATAATATTTACAACATGACCTTATTAATCAAGTGACTCGAGTATGAATTGTGAGCAATGCATCTAAATAATAAATAAATTTATGTTTTTTGTAATTTTATTTAAAACTCTAATATATTTTGAAGGATGTTGGTATGTCACTAATGCATGTAATATAAATTAATAGTCAAAGAGAAATCAAAGCAAATGCAGATATCCCTAAGAAGGGTAATTATCCTCAGCGACCATATGCCTCTTTTTGTGCAATGGATGAAATATCAAAAGCAAGAAAATAAATGAAGATGTATGTGTAGATGGATAAGTTCATCCTAGAGAGTTTCTAATAAATTTTATTGATTAATTCTAAATGTTTTTAATTTGATTATTTAAGTTGACAAGAAAACTTAATTTTACTATAGGAGTTACAAGTAAATCCGACCTTATAAGCACACATAAACATAGAAATAAACTAGGAAAATGAAAAATTTCAGTACACATATAAACTAAACATGAAAAAAAAATCAATAAACAACAAAAACTATATAAAGAGGCTGGGGATGTATCGTGTATATGTGATCTTCCATGTTATTTTTTAGCTTATTTTTATGTTGATTTTATGCTTTTGGAAGGACCTTGTATTGTAATTTGTAGGATATATGTAAGAAGATTGATGAAAGATCAAATGATTAAAAATGAGCTAAAGATAGTATCATCACCCAAATGAAAGAGAAGTACCCAGGCGTCAAAGGAGTAGCGCCCATATACCCAAACCTTAGTTCAAACCAGTCAAAGACAGAGGATCCAAAAAGTGGGTGTTGGCCTTGCAACGATGATACAAATTAAATGCTGTGAATCACATAAATATGCATGCAATACAAGTAGTGTACTGATTTGAATATGTGTATTGATTCCATAGGGAACAGGCAAAATTCTATGATGAAAAAGTTTGTCTTCTATAATTCAGCCTAGCCCAGGTGTATGAAGTTTTAATAAATAAGTAAAAGTTAGTAATTCTAATTTTTGAAAATATTAAAACCTAGGCTATTATAGTAACTATCACACGAGTGTTTTCAGGTGCTAGTAATTTCTCCCTTGGATTGGTTTTGTAAGATTCTAGGTTTAAATAAGTGATCCAAAAGATATGTTTCAATCATAAGTATAATTCTTCCTTATCCCCTTTCGAGCATCTAAGAAAGTTCGACAATCATACATGCATTGTCCTCTAAGAAAGTGATAGCCAAGGAAACCATTTCCCTTAAATAGAATGCATAACACATAGATATTCTATTCCCCTAAATTAATATGATTTAACCTAATTTTTTCACTAAGAATTCTTCCAAATTTCAAAGATTATAAAATGTTTTAACATTTCAATTGACAAAGATTAAGGTAAACTAAGAATCAAAGGTTAAACAAACTCCTTATCTAAATTCAAAAGAAAATCACACAAGACAATTCAATCCTATCATTCTTACATAACCAATCTAAAAGAGAAGAAAAGAAATTAGTCACTAACAATAACATTATCATATTATTGTAAGGAAATAACAAACACAATAATTTTATGGATAAAAAAAATTAAAAATTACACAAAAAATATACAACTTATTTCCTTCCTTCTCCTTATGAAAATGATAGAGTTACAACATGATAACACATTTTGAATCACTCTCAATATGTCCTTACTCACTCACTTGCAATGGGATCTTTCTTCCTGTGCACAGTTGATGAACACGTGTGAACAGTTGAAATAGTTTTCTTTCATCATACAAAAGTTATGGAGTGGCTAAAGTAGACTAAAGATTAATGAAGTAAAGTTAGAGCAAAAAATAGATGCTTAGATATACCTTATCCATAATCTTATACATATGGAGTTGAAGAGGGGAAAGTGGAGAGAGGTGCCTACTTTTGACCCAACCTTTAACTTAGTTGATCTTAAAGTATGAGGTGTTGAGAAAGGAATGTGGGGTAAGAGGTGGATGGAGATAAGGTTGAGGAGGTACAAGATTGTTATTTTTATGCTTATAGAAAATGAGGCCAAGAAGAGGGGGAATGTTAGCTCATTCCTTACCATTGTATTTATAAACTAGCAGGCTTGGAAGGTAGGGGATGTTAGCCTATCCTTTATTATTGTGACTTAGAGAGATGTACAATTTGTAGAATTAAGAGAATGCCACGAAAACATAATAAGTATTTGGTTGCTATCCTTCATGAAAAAATAGTAACCCATATAATCACACAATGTTCATTTCCCCGCCCCCATTATTAAGAGAATGCCACGAAAACATAATAAGTATTTGATTGCTATCCATCATGAAAAAATAGTAACCCATATAATCACACAACATTCATTTCCCCGCCCCCATCGATGAAAATCAATTATCTTCCATGATGTCATAGAATTAAGGATTTTTTAACAACTATGAAAAAGAGTTAGGAGTGGATAATGGATGTGTAGTGTTGTTCTAACTCTATCAGTTGAATACTCTTATAATTTTGTTAAATTTTAAAGTAATAAATATTTTGTTCATTAAAAATTATATAAATTAATATTTTTTACATTAACGTTAGTTTTTATTTTTGTAGTAAATAAATTCTTTATATTTCTTGATAGAGGAGTAAATATGTTGCTATCCTAAATTCTATGGATAAAATATTATTATATAGAATTAAGTATTTGATCAAAGATTTAAATTAAAAAGAAAAAAATGACATAATAATCAAAGCGTAAGGTCTTCTTCAATTGACTTGAAGATGATTTGATCTATGCCATCAGAGAGGAGAGAAGTTTTTGATGCTACCATATGATGTAAAACTCATATATTATTTAATAAAATAAAATTTTATTTATTCAAAAATACGTGAGATCTCATTGTCTACATGATCATGATATTATATGGTTATAACACCTTGCAAGTAATGCCAAATCTATTCAACATGTGCTTTCCTATATTGCTTGAGTAATTATAGTTACTTGACAACAAAATTGAATATGAATGATTTATGCAAGCTTAAGTAGCATTGGATTGCCTACAAATTTGTATATGGATGATTTATGTATAGATTTATTTCGTAATATTGTAGATCAATAGATCTATAAAAAAAGATTATGTGTCTATTCTTTTATTGATATAATGTGTAGTGTTTATCTCACTTTCAATCACTCAATCTTTGTTTAATTATTTTTATTCAAATTTGGTGTATTATAACTTTAAATTACACTTAATTATGATCTAGCCATTGTACTATGTCTCTTTCATTGTACTCTATTATGTTATGATCATTATGTTATATATCTTAAATTGATGGATAGTACATATTGTGCTCTTGTTACAATCTCTTATAACTTTATTTGTTGTTGTTGCTATGTTGAACCTTTGTTTTTTTTGTAAAATATTTTTTAGTTTGTTGTATTGTTTTTATTTTGTGTTGTGCATACAATCTCTTATACCATGCTTTCCTCTCATTACTATGTTATAATTGCATTATGAATATTATGATATGTTATACACATGTTGAGCCTTATTCGAAACATTTTTGAACCTTCATCGAAACTTGGCCAAACATTCTTAGTCTTATTTGAAACTTGTTTTATCAATATCAAATTCATATGTGAACGATGACTCAACCATTGCTGACCTATGCTTAGTAAATATCTGAATTATATTTGACTCAATGCTCAAAATTTTGTTGGATTTATACTTGATTCATGTTTGAATATTGCTAAAATAATATTTGAAAATGATCATAATATAGTCCGAATGAAATTCTAAAAAAAATTGATTAAACTTCCAACATAATATATGGACCTAAATTTGCAAACTTATTTAAATTAATATTGATCATGATGAATTATAAATAAGTACTTCCCCATTTATACCTACAATTTTTTTGATCTAAAATAAATAAATTTATGAGGGAAAATAATCGACAGGCTTACACGCTCAATTCCTATTATGAGGTATACGAACTTAAAATCATTGCAAATCATATCTATTTTCTTTGTTTCTTATTTCTGCCACTTAAGGGGGTGTTTGGTGGGATACTTTTAACAGGATTTAAGTTAGATTTAACTTAAATCAAGCCAAACACCATAAATCTGTTAGATAAATAAGCTGTTAAGTTAAATCCAATTTTTATTTGTTTCGTTCGGATGTATTAAATTCACTCATTAGTTGTATTTAAAGAATTTAGGACGGTAAACCAAATATCTTAAATAATTTTAATTGAATTTAATGTTAATTGAACAAAAAGTTATTTCGAATTTAATGTTATTAAGTTTTGGTAAATCCGGTCCTCTTTAACTTGAATCCTATGTCCTTCAGTTGGAAAAATTTTGCACACTTCGTCGGTTACGGAGGGCCAGGTACTCAATATTTTCTCACGTCTGCTATAGGCCTAATTTTTCTGTGCGAACTCCTGACGTAGCTTTATGTTCCGCAGAGGTTATTCCTGAATTATTTTCAGATTATTTTTGGGTTATTTTTAATAATTTTGAAATAACTCAAAATTAATCCAGGGTCTTTATTTTTAGGTTATTTTAAAATTATTAAAAATAACACAAAAATAAACTCAAAATAATAGAGTTTACTTGGCGCGGAGCAATTGCCTTTAGACATCGCTCGATGGAAAATGTTAGAATAAACAGGCGCGCATGGGAAATCCCAAATATTTCCTGCCCTCTTCCGCTTATGATGCCTGTTTTCCACCGCTATGCTCTTCGTCAATAAACAAGGACCTCTAGATCTCACCGAATCAATCACAATTTCTCTATTTTGTCCACCTTTCTTCACAAATCGGAGGCCTAGAGCGCAACTCTACACTCGCCATCCTTTCGATACAACTGTGTTTTCACCTTCATTTGGTATCAATCTAATCTATTGTCCTTCGAACTTCTGAGAGCAATGAGGCTTTTTTCGGCTCGATTTGTCCCTTATGATCATTTATTTTTGTTTCTTGAGCTGATCGCTAAGCGGCCATTTTCGGAGAAGATGCAGCGTATTCACGCCACAATCGAGGAGCAGCTTATTCTCAAGTCTATCAAGGAAGAATGCTCATGGGAAAACCTCCCAAAGAGGCTCCAGGCGACTATCTCCACGAAAGAGGAGTGGCACAAGAGGTGATCGCTTTAGTTTTTTTACTTCGTAGCGAGATTTTCATCATTCTATTGGAAGACTCTCTACGGTAAATTGACGCAGTATAGTGGAGGAATTACTTTATATTGCTCATCTCCTGCTTGAGACATTGGTGCATTTATTCTTCGTGTAGGATTTGAAATAAAGCAAATAAAGCTGTTTAGTATTCACTGATTGCAGCATCAGAACACATACGTTTGATGAAATAGACATTCAATAAACTATACAACAATAGCTTCACTACTATGCAATAGGATTTCTTTGCAATTTTTCTAAACATGGTTTGTTGTGGGAATCAACGAGCACAAAATGGCTGTTCATCTGTGCATGATTGATTATGCTATTGCATAGTCCAGGAAGTTGGAGATGACCGGTGTTTAATGTGAGTCTATTAAGTTTTATGACAAACTTTAATCCTTGAGAATCATCTAAAATCTTGCAAGTGAGGGCTGTTCATCTTTATCAACATGCCACTGACTCAAAGGTGTTGGTTTTATTAGCTTTTTTAAGATAAATGTTATGAAATGTTATTTTTAAATTTAGGTATGGCGAATAAATATTATTTGTTTTTGGTAATCTTCATAAAATCAAAATTGTAACAAGCATCATATCATAGTTTTAGAAATATGTTCCCCATAAGAATTGAAATAACCTTGTACATGCATTTTAAGCCTAGGCTAATTATAAAAGTGGATTTAGAGAGATGAGAATACTTCTACCTTAGGATATGAATAGAATATGTAAGGGCAAAGAACCTATAGAAGCCATATCTTTTATCAATCTAGAGTAAGGAGATGTGCCAAGCCATCAAATTGGGATAAATCAAGATATATCTCAATTACTGAATCTTATGGTTCATTTAACTTTGGAAATTCATAGGCTAGGTGCTACTGGAATGTGAAAAAAGAATTTGGAGCATCTAGAGGGCACATGATAGTCTATGATTAATTTTCAAGCACATGTGACACTTTTTGTATTTAACAAGAAAAAAAATAGGATGGTTGAAGATTTAAACTCTTTGTCCTGAAAGTGAATAATATTTTATTCTTCTCTTTGTTTATTCAGTTTGATTACTGGCTAACCTTTTAGTTGTAAATTAAGCAAGCAAGCTGTTTGATTTTCCTTAATCAGACAGAACATTTGAAGAACTATCTCAAAATTAAAATTTGTTGGTGCAATAATATTGTTAAGTTGATTATAACATTTGGCGCTTAAAAAAATCTTTCTATACTTATTATCTATTGTAGTGTCATATTTAATTTAATATTCTTAGTTATGAGATATAATACTCAACAAAAGTTGAAGATCGTTTGAAACTTCTTAAACTTGGAGTCTATATAATACTCAACAAATGTTAGCTTAGGAATCATATTATTGTCTCTGAAAGAGTTTGGGTAGCTTTCTAGCCTAGGATGGCTTTCTTACTTAGACTTCTTTTCTCATCCACTTGTTCTTGTTTGGTATATTTGCCGCATCATAAGGTGTCTTTTATTTTACTTTTGTTAATATTTGTTTACCTTTCTTTCATACTCTTCATATATGTAATTTTCTATGCAAAATTGGATCTAAAACAATTTCCTTTTAGAACTTCAGACTGCTCTCTGATATGATTTGACACAGATTTTCACACAGAAATTAGAGCAGAACAAATTTTTTTCTTCAATAATCCAAATCAACTCAACACAAATATATAAGTACATAAAGTTTGAGAGGTAGACAATCTCTCCCAAATCTTATATTTCGAGAGGTAGGAAATCTCTCTCAAATCCTAACTCAAAGACTCAAAGTCAATAATCTCATGCATATCTCTAATCCAAAATTATTATGCCTTATTTATACCAAACAATAATTAACAATAAAAGATAAAATTGCCAATAGGTTTGGCACCGACGTAACAATACTCTCATCATAAAGAAACACTTTGTCCTTAAGATGGATAAAAACTGCTATTGGATCAAGCTCCCCTGCCTCCTCATCACATACTGTGATAATTTGTAATGTTTGATTCTTGCAACGGTGGCCTGAGATAAATTTTTTCATCACATCGAAAGCATAACACAGCTGTTCGCTTCTCCTGCATCTCTGTCTCTGTAAGGCGTTTGAATGTTGCCCTCTGCTGTGGTCCATTAGTCATGTTTCTGGGAGCCTCCTTATAAACTTTCACTATTTGAGTTAATAGTATCATCATGTTTGTAGTGTTTCAGTAGGAAGTTCCCCTTGTGATGCTCCTATTAGCCCACTCAATTGTATTTTTATCTTCAACCAACTTCTTTAGTTCCATAATTTCCCACAATCATTCTCAACAGATGAAGTGTTGCACGTATGTGGGCTTTAAAACATATATAAAATTCCCCTTCAATATTGATCCAAAAATTTCTCTCAGCCGTTCCGATAATATCTTGAATCTCTCTCTATATTCCATGATAGTCCCCTCTCGAGTCAAGACAAATAATTGCTTGCGTAGGCCTTCTTCCTGAATGACTCAAAAACATTCTAACAAGCAATCTTTAAATTCCTTTCACAAGCATATTAGATATTTAGCATTCCTTCACTAAAACCATACTAAGGCTTTTTCTTCCAAACATAACGCTACCACAATGAGCTTCTCCTCTTCATTTAGCTTATTCACCGTGAAATATAGCTTCACCAGGTACATCCACCCATGTGCGTCTTCGCTCTCAAAGATCGATATCTTTAACTTCCTAACCCTAGCATCTTCTCCCCAACTTTCTCTCCCTCGATGTTTTTCTCCACTTATTGAAAATAACACTCCATTCTTTTACTATAGCCTCGACTTCTCTCCTTCCTTCACGTTCCTCCATACCCCTTGCATGACTCTTCCATGTTTTGACACAACTGCCTCCATCGAAAATCTTTAATCCACCCCCCATTGGAGCCTTTGGGAGGAGTTCTTGATGATGGATGCTTTCCTTCTCATGTTCCTCTCATTCGATCTCTTTTCCAACACCCTCGGTTAGCATTAAGGTTTGAAAATTGAGCCGTCGGCGGGATTTTGGATTGCATTTCAATAAGCTTCCTTATCCTCACCTTCAAGCTCTCGAATCGGTTGTCAATAGCGGTGAATCCTTACTCTATCCTAGATTTAAGTTGCCATACTTCTTTCTCCAATTTCTTCTCCAAATCATCTATTTCTTTGGCCGCCATTACTATTTGAACAGTTTCAAAACTCCCTTAGAATGTGATCTTGTAGTTGGCTTTTGGTCGCAGGAGGTGTTGCAATGGTTTCAAGTAGGAGTGGAGTGGGAGGAGACGAGAGATGGGAGTTTTGGATCTTGGCATGTCGAGATCCCCACATGGCCTTCTCAACTAGATCTAATCATGATTGTATCACGAGGACTAGGGGTGTAAATGAGTCGAATCTAGCTCGAGCCATTCTTGGCTTGAGATGGAGCTTGATCCAGTTAATCGAGCTCGAGCTTAATTCTACAAGTTTGAGCTGACTCACGAGTTGACTTGATTATAATGAAAAAGAGAAAAAAATATTAGTTCAAGTTAGTGTTATATATAATGATAAATGGAATGATCAATTAAATGATAAATAATAAGAAATCACTTGATACAAAATATAAAATACTTTTTCTTACACCTTTTTAGTAATTTAATGACAAAAACTTCAGTTTCAATGTATTTTGATTGTATTTTATATCAAATATTTTTTAAACGAGTCGGCTCAAGAGCTAACCTGTCGATTCGGGGCTAGCTTGAGCTTGGCTTGTTAGCTCATTGAGCTCGGTTCACGAGACACTTATCAAGCGGAGCCCGAGCCGGCTCATGAGCGGGCTTGACTCACTTGCCCCCTAGCGAGGATGGAGCGGGAGGATGAGAAAGATGGAGTTTCGGGCCTCTGTAGATCGCAATCCCATCGGTCTCTCAGCCACTCTATGTTGCAATCTTTTGTTGTGCCCCTACGCGATCCCGTTGTTGCCTTCCCCACTAGCTCTGTTCGCGACTGTCGTCACACCCTATAGATGATTTCGACGTCGCCTTCCTAGCTAGATCTTGTTGCAGATCCCACACCCTTTACTGCGCCGAGATGCCTTCGACTGCTTCTCTTGTTGTTTGTTTCATAGAAATCTTGCTCTGATACCAATTTGATGTGATCTGACACATTTCCACATAGAAATTAGGGCAATACAAAATTTTTTCTTCAATAATCGAGAGCAACCAAACACAATAATATAAGATAAGCATCTACAATTCGAGAGCTAGGTGATCTCTTCCAAATTTGACAATTCAAGGGGTAGGAAATTTCTCTCAAATTCTAGCTCTAAGACTCAATGACAATAATCTCATGCATAACCCTAATCATAAATTATTACGCTCTATTTATACCAAACATTAATTAATTAAAAAAAATAAAATCGTCCTTAGGCTAAAAAAGACAAAATTGCCCTTAGGCAAGCATCGGCGTAACACATTCCTCAGCTGTCTTGTAATTATTTTGATATTTTCTTTTGGTTTGTAGCATTTTGTCTTTGCCAGGTTTAGTTTGGAGAAAAAGATTTGTCTAATTTACTTTGTCAATAAAAGTGCAGAATAATAGAGCACTGCATAAAAAAACGGCTACAATGGCATACTAGTTTTGCCCGTAAAGTATGCAAAGAAGCAGAATATTATGAAGAGATGATGCGTTATCTGCGTAAGAATCTTGCGGTACTTAACTAAACATGTTCATCTTTTATTTCCTAAACATTTTCATCTTTTATTTTCTACCTCACTGCTATGGTTTCTTTTAGAGTTCATGTGCATGTCTTCAATGCATGTAGTTCAGGCAGCAATCATAACTATTTAATACTAGCTCACAATTGATCAGAGCTTCGACATTATGTCAAACAATCTAATGCTTTAGTATTCCGTAATTCTATTTTGGTGCCATTAACTTGTGATGCTTTTGCAGCTGTTCCCCTATCATCTTGCAGACTATGTTTGTCGAGTAATGAGGATTTCACCTTTCAAGTACTACTGTGATATGATCTTTGAAGTAATGAAAAATGGTAATTGCTTCTAAATATCATAAGATATGTTAAATTCATATTTTCGCATCACCTCTTTTTTTTATTTAGGTTATCTTACCTTGTTGTTTTTTGCTTGCTCCCGGCATATTTTGAGGTAATAAAGCTTTAGTTGTACTAGGAAATAACTTATGGCTAGTTTGATTGCTTTTGCCTTTTTTTTCCGTGCAATATGATGTACTAGGAAATAACTCTGTTTGCTTGCTTATAGAGAATTACTTTCACATGAATTTAGATTACTTAAGTTCATTTAAACCTTATTTGCATTACATACCTTGCCAATTCTACTCTCTTATATAGAGGATTGGGTCTATGAGATAGAACTAGTGACGTCCTTGTTGGTATAGTACTGAGAGTTGCATTTTGAAATAGTTTTTTTTTGTATTAGGGGCTTGGAAGGCTTTTTGATCTTAATTGAAGTATGAAAATATTTAGGAGATTTGGGAGTTTCTTGGCTTACTAAACTCTTTAATATTATTTTAATATATTATTTTTAAAACTAAAAAGATGCCTGAGGAGTGGAGGAAGAGTATTTTGGTTCCCATTTTTAAGAATAAAGGGGATGCAAAAGAGTGTGCAAATTATAGAGGGATTAAGTTGACGTGTCATACTTTAAAATTATGGTAAAGGGTAATTGAACATAGGTTAAGACGTTTTACCTTATAATCAGTTTGGATTTATGTCGGTAGGTCTACTATGGAAGCTATGCATTTATTGAGAGGTTTGATGGAGAAGTACATAGAGATTAAGGAGGATCTATATATGATTTTTATTGATTCAGAAAAAAGTTTATGATAAGGTTCACAGAGAAATCCTTTAGAAAGTTCTAGAGAAAAAATATGTTGATATGACTTACATTCATGCATTAAGGATGTTTATACCAGAGTTGTTATTTGTATTCGAACAGAAGGAATACTGACCAATTATTTTTTTATTTCAGTTGGATTACATCAGGGATTGGCTTTAAGCCCATCCCTTTTTGCTTTAGTTATGAAAGTCTTATTGGACATTTACAGGAGGATGTACCTTGGTGTAGGTGTATGCTTTTATGTATGCTTTTAGCTGATGATATCCTTCTCGTGGATAAGACGAGAGAAAAAGCCTAGGAAAAACTTGAACTATGGAGGTCTACATTGGTGTAATTCTAACTCTGAATACATATAATGTAATTTAGTAGTAGTAGCTCTAGTGACATAAATGTAACTTTGGGTGATCAAATTATTAAAACATATGATTGATTTAGATATCTCGAGTTTGTTGTTCAAAGCGATTGTGATATATATGGGGATGTTAATAGTAGAATTTAAGTTGGTTGGTTGAAGTGGAGGAATGCTTTGGGACCTTTGTGTGATAGAAAAGTACCACTTAGACTGAAAGGAAAATTTTATAAGACGGTGGTGAGACATGCAATGTTGTATGGCGCTGAGTGTTGGCCTTTAAAAGAGAAGCATAATACTAAGTTAAGTGTTGCCGTGATGAGAATGATTAGGTGGATGAGTGGCTTTACACTTGGAGACAAAATGCAAAATGAATATATTCGTGATAGGGTTGGTATAGTTCCTGTGACAGACAAAATTAGAGAAAGTCGTCTTAGTTGGTTTGGTCACATTAAGCGCGACCATCTGATGATCCGATTAGGAGAGTAGATGTTTTAGATTCTACTTATGTTAAGAAAGACAGAGGTAGACCTAGGCAGACTTGGGCTTATTGTATAAAAAATGATCTTAATTTATTATAACTAGATGAAAATATGACACTAAATAGGACGCAATGGAGAAAAAAGATTCATGTAGCCGACCTCACATAGTGGGATTAAGGCTTTGTTGTTTGTAGAGGCTTTGAAGGCTTTATGAAAATATAAAACAAAATATCTTTGTGTGATTTGAGATCAAATACCTAATTCTCAGTCCTCAATCCACAATGCTGCAAGTTTTCTTGACTATCAAGTGTACAACGACGACGACGACAACAACAACAACAAACCTTTATCCCACTAAGATGGGTTGGCTACATGAATTTTTTTTTCCATTTTTTCTTATAGAGTGTCATAATTTCGTTTAATTATAATAATTGAAGATCATTTTCTATACAACATGCTTAGGCCTTTTTAGGACTACCTCTACCTTTCTTAACTTGATCAAGAGTACTAGTTTAAAATTAATCTTTTCTTAGTAGTTGTTTTTGAATTGATCACACATCTTGTCAACTCTACAGCTTGGGGAGGATTGAATTTGAAAAGTGAAGCTTATGACCCTAGGGCGGCTTCGTTTGGTACGAGCATATATATAGAATTGGACATTAATTTTGAAAGAGAGATTTCATGATATTTCAATTTAATTGATAAACATTTTTAGAACTGGGTAAATTGGAATTCATTTATTTACTCCGCCAACATTTTTTAACTATAAGTTAAAGCATTTCACATGTTTGTCGGAACATCTGTAGACATTTGTATATGCTTGAACAATTTCCAAGGTATTGTGATCTAGTTCAAAGTTCTTTTCATTCACATATGAGGCTTGTACCTTTCTATATTTTGGTGTTTGCTTGAATATTTTGTCATTAAGATGCGCACAAACTTTTCATTTCGAGTTTGAATGATTGCATTATATCCATTTACATGTATATGTTGCGAATCTAGTAGTAATGTTGTGTTTTTGGTTATTTTTATGCTTTCAAAATAGAGCAATTTGTTGCTTGAATTTAGTTTACAAATGTAACACTCAAAATTTGAGAAACTGGGTAAAATTTTAACATAAAATTTGCATCCCCTGAAATTTAACTTAAACGATTTTATAAAATTTTACACGTCGAATTGGTAAATTTGATATCTAAAATTATGCATGAATTTTAAACGGATAAGAAAATATACAATGATGAAGTTATAAGTTTAATTAACTTAATTAGTCCTAATTATTCTCTTTAATCCAGCATCTCCGTACTTAACTACGCATGCTACGACTTGATTAGATCGAATGGTTGAAAGTTATTAGGGGTGAGCTAAATTCCACATTCACTTCCTCTCTCAATTCCTCCTTACCGAGAGAAGCTTTACCCTGTGCACCGTAGCAGGGAGTGAATAGAGAAGGGCGAGTGGCAGTTTGGGAGCCGCAGCCCACGACAGTAAGTTTCGGGGAGATTTCGGTAAGAAGAACTCCATTTCCATGATATTCCAGATATTCTTTTCCTTATACTTTTGCTTTAACGTTTGCTATGAATCAGCGGGAGACGTACTTGCATCGGAAGCGACGAAATTGGTTTGTGGGCTTCCATAAGGGCTATTACCACGAAATCAACGATGAAATGGGAGGATTAAGGTGATAGGAGGAAGACAGAAGAAGATAGGCAGTCTCGGAGAAGGGTTGGTTATGCTGAGAAGTTTTTTTGAGATGAGAATTCCTAAATAAATTATGTTTATGGTTAAATCATGAAATGAGCTAAAATTTCATTAAATTTTATGATGTTTATGAATCCCAAGTTGTCTACACTAGGCGGCGAGTTTGAGACGAGCTTGAGGAAACTCATTGTAGAGCTGTTCCGTCAATTCAAATGAAATAATCTTGTGCTAAATTAATAAGAATAAATCTCTGTTGGTTTTGTGATTATGTGGTTGACACTATTGCATTTAGAAATTCTACATATTGTGGATAAACACCTGCATATTGTGAATGCATTGGTATTTCTGGCCAAATTAGAATTGCTGTATAAAAATGCGTAGGATCTGAAAAATATCCAAATGGTTGTAGAATTTTCTAATGTATTCCCCGAAGAATTGTCAAGGCTACCTCAGAACGATAAGTTGAGTTTGACATTGATGTGCAGTTAGGGACACCCGCAATTTTCATGTCTCATAACAGGATGACTTCGAAAGAATTTTAGGAATTAAAATGTCAATTGCAGGAATTGATAGATAAAAGTTTTATCAGGCCAAACAATTCACGTTGGAGTGCTCTAGTATTATTTGGCAAGAAGAGAGACAAATCTGTGTGGTTGTGCATTGATTATAAAGAGCCGAACAAGGTGACAATAAAAAACAAATATCAGGATTGATGATCTATTTGATCAATTAGAAGGTGCTACTGTATTTTTTGGGATCGATCCGAGATCGGATATCATGTCATAGTCAATGAGGTAGATATACTAAGAAAACATTTGTTATCAGGTATGATCATTATGAATTCTTAGTTATGACTTTTAGTTTAACCAATGCTCCTGTTATATTCATGGACCCGATGAATCAAATCTTCAATCCTTATGTGGATTAATTTGTTATTATCTTTATTGATGATATTCGTATTTATTTAGAAACTGATGATGATCATGCCAAGAATTTGAGGATAGTATTGGAGCTGCTGGGTAGAATCATCTATATGCAAAGTTGTCAAAATATGAATTTTGATTGCGGAGTATTGCTTATTTGGGAAATATTATCAATGGATAAGGAATAATAATGGATTCTCAGAAGGTGAAAGCAATTTGGAATGATCTAGTTGAAAGAATGTTACGGAGGTATGCAACTTCTTGATTTGGCCGAATATTACAGGAGATTTGTTAAAAAAATTTCATAGATAGCTATGCCGTTGTCCGAGTTGATGAGAAAAGATGTCCAATTTGAGTGGCATGCAGAACGTGAGCATAATTTTCAAGAGTTGAAGAAATATTTGACTATTGCTATAGTGTTAGTTTTTCCATCAAGAATAGAAAGATTTCTGACTTACAACAACGCATCGTTGCGAGGTTTGCTATGTTTTAATGCAAAATAAAAAAGTTAATAGCCCATGCATTTAGACAATTGAAGCCACATAAGAGGAACTATCAGACACATGATCTGACGTTAGCTGCTGTAACATATACTCAAGATTTTGTGGCACTACTTATATGGTGTGAAGTCTTCACGGATTATCAGAGTTTGAAGTATATTTTCACACAAAAAGAGCTGAATCTGAGGCAGAGGGGGCAATTGGAGTTGAGTAAAGATTATGATATGGATATACAATATTGTCCTGATCTTGTAAATGTAGTTGCTGATGCTTTGAGTCATAGATCCACGGTAGTGCAAGCTTAATTTATTACTCAAGAGCTGGAATTGGTTAAATAAATTAATGTCTTATAGTTGAAAGTTCGAAGATCAGGAGATAGTGGGTATTTGCATCAACTGATCATGCAACTAACTATGATGGATAAAATCAAGACAACCTGGAAGATTAACAATGAATATCCGAAACTCGTGAAATAACTTACAATCAGGAAAGAAATCAGATGTGACTATTGATGAAAATGGTGTACTTAAAAATAAGTTATAGTTATGAGTATCTGCTGCTTCTAATTTGAGATAAAAAATTCTACATGAAGCTCATCATTCAAGCTGCATAATTCTTCAAGTAACAATAAAATATTTGAAATTAATATTCTGGTGGCTAGGTATGAAGAAAGATATTATTGAATAAGTGTCTAAATGTCAAAGCTCGTGAGATTGTAAAAAATGAGCATCAGAGACCTAGCAGATTACTACAATCATTATTACCTGAATAGAAAATGAAAGAAATTGCTATGGATTTTGTTATGGGGTTTCTCCGATTCAGGCAGGATTGTGATAGTATTTTGGTCATTATTGACAAACTAATAAAGTCAGCTCATTTTTTTCCATTCAAGCAGACAAATTCAGTTGAAATGTTGGACATATTATATGTAAAAGAAATTGGCTATTTGAAAAGCTCGGCTTCACAGAAACGCGAATGTTTTTGCGACCCGTGAATCCCAGCTCCTAGGTCATTCTTCTCGGTTAGGAGAGGCTCCTTTATTGGAAATGGATGGATCGTACTGTCTGATGTTCTTTCTCATAGAACACATGTGAACATTTTTAGATTAGCAGTTCATCACTCTTATTTGGCCATCTGTCCGTAGGTGCACCATTGAACTAAACTAGAACTAAGTACCCTTAGTACTCAACCTACTCTATAGGGTTTTCTAGAAATAGCTCATAACTTTCTCATCTCTATCTAAAGTGATGATGTGAAAGTAGTGGCAACCTAGGAGGTAGGTTTCACGTACGAAAATTTTAAAATTCTCTTGGTAGAGGTTGCCCTATGTCTAGCATCGGCTTCTCGAACTTATTGTCGCCTTGAACAACTAATGCTAGTCATGTTGGTGTTCTACTCAAGATTTGCCAAAAAGAATTCATGGCACCACATCCTCAAACTTTATATGAATGCCATTTAGCTCAGACTCTTTCCAAGGCAAGAGTGCAATGTTGGTGAAAGAATGTGTTCATTTAGCCATCATGATGTGTACAACGATCGCACTGCCAAGGAAGACCTAATAAGATATGACAAATTTTCATAGGTACCACTTCACACCACACTTTCTCTTGGAACTTATCTCCCTTAGAAAACTCGATGAGACATTTCCTATCAATAATGATCTTACTTCTCTTCTTCAAATAAGTCGGGGAATAGACTGAGAATGCTTCTGAGCAGCGAGGCTCAATTTATCTATTATCTATATAAATGTCACATTTTCACAATTGCCTCCATCTATAATGAGACCACATATCTTTCTCTACACGGTACAATGGGTATCAAATATGTTGTGACGGAGGCATTGTTGCTCTCTCTTGGACTCAATCTGAAGGATCTGTCAGATTACCAACATCTCTTTTTTTCCTGCTAAAAGCCGGCACTCTTTCGGCTGTACCCTCGTTCTAATACCATATGACCATTCTCAGGTTCTTAGATGGTGTTTAGGAAGTTGGTTTTGCAGGGAGGTAGTTGGGGAATGGTACGATAAGGATGATTGGAGCAGTCGACAGTGTTTGGAAGGGGTTAGGGGGTGAGTATGCTGTTGGACAGCAGATTGGCATAGTTTGGCTGCTGTTTAAACTGAAAAAAGCTAGTCAAACAACAAAACAACATGATATGGGTGGCGAGAAAGTTTCAACACTCGTTCCTAAGTATGATATAGGTACATCACTTGCAAAAAGAGATGATACAATCCTCTTAAAACAACAATCAAATAATACAATCATCAAAACACACAAACAAAAAAGTTAATGCCTCCAAAACAGAAAAATAAAACATATAAATAGTCTCATGTTAGAAAGAGAAGAAAATAAGTAGGAAATAATCTAGAAAAGGCAATAATTCTCGCTGAACTTGCCAGCAATACATGATTTTCCTTGTTCAACCCATTCTGACTGTGTTTCCGGCTTGAGATTGTAGTGGAGTCGTAACTCCCGTGGTCGCAGGAGTTATGCGTATCGCAGAACCGCTTAAGTTCCGCGTCTTGTTAAGCCTAGCTCCCGCGTCAAATATTCTTTACCTTTTTTTTCTGTTATTTATTTCTTAATTCTTCTTTTTTTTTCTTCTTTTATTGGTTTATTGCTTTTCCTTTTTTTTTTTTGAAACTTATTGTTCTTTAGATAGAAAAGAGAGGGGGGGATATACAAAAAGGGGGAGGAGGTAGGGGAGATGTAGAAATAGAGAGGGTGAAACCTAGACATAAATGGTGCAGCAAGATTGAGGCACAAGATACGCATGATCTAATGTAATATTGGCAACCACAAGATATTTGATTTTAATTTTTTTAAAATTAAGATTCAATTAGATTTAAAATAAATTTTATGTATGATTTTATTTCTTGTGCAATTTCTTGTTCACGTGCACATGTCGGAATTTTTGTTCTGTCTAGCATGTGGCTAAATATTTCATTTTGCTTTTGTGCAGTGGGTCGGACAATATCGGTGTCCTTTATAGATAATTTTGATGTTCTAAATGTGTTGACACAATTGTTTCATAAAATGGTGTATGGTCACACTACTTTGATTGGGGTTGAGGCATTTTGATTCAGATTTACACAACATTGTTTCTTTTGCCCGTCATTTTGTTTGTAGGCGCATTTAGTTGCAAAGCTGGTATTGAGGTCAATAGTTACTGGCATGGAGCCACACTTTAGCTGGAACTTAATCTTTCCTCAGCTTTAAGATCGCTTTTTAATGCCTAAAATGTGGATTCTATGTCGGTCTTCTTTTCTAGTCGGGTTATTGGACTTTATTTCCTGGCTTCTTGTAGATATGATGAAAAGCTATACGGGTTTTGAGCAAATATTGCTTGATTCGCAGCCTTAATTGCCATATTGACTTACTTTAGATCACACTTTTTTATCCTAACAAAAAGAGAAATAAATTTTTTTCCAGCATTTTTGATCAAATCCATTTTGAATTTGTATCTCTTAGCTTAGCTTTTTATGGAACTGTTATATTAATTCTAACTAATGGATTGTCAAACAAAACCAAAGTAGAATTATTAGGGTTGAATTTTCTCAGTTGTATACTCCGCACTATGGAGTTGTACAGTTGAAATAGGTGATCAACTTTATCCAGCATGTTCTCAAGAAAGCATTTCAGACGCTGTTGACCATTTTTCAATCTACGGACCAGTTACTTGCATAAAACAATATATTATTTCCTTTTTCTCTGACGTAGAATTTAATGGCTTCTTGGTCGAGGCAGTTCAGAATGCCTTCCTCAATTTTACAATTTTTGAATGTTCATGATCATCAATAAATTCTAAATTGCAGTCTGACTTTTTTGAGGAATCATGCAGAGCAACCTTATGACAGCATCCCTAATTTCAGTGCCGCTGATGCTTTGAGGCTTACTGGCGTTGGTAGAAATGAATTTATTGATATAATGAACAAGTGCAGATCGAAGGTACCCTTACTAACTGTAATTTATGATGATATCCTCATCTCTGCCACCTGTTACTTATGTTTATTCTTAAAGTAAACATTGATTCTATTAATCATAATGCTGAAATTTAAGTATTTCTGAATGAGCCTAGTGAGGGACATGAGTTAATGTGACGTCCTGTTTCAGTTACCGGGAGAGAAGAAACAGAGAATTGAAGAAGAGGATGTGAGGAGATGGGTAACCGAGCAGAGAGGGAGAGGAAGTGAACAAAGGGGAGAGGAAGCGAGGGGGAGTCAGAAGCTGAAAAGGTAAGTTCCCCCTATAAATTACTGTATGAGGGAGAGTCAAATGATGCCGTCAAGGGTTTCACTGTTGGGTTGAACCGCAATGTCGATAGAGAGAAGAAGCCGAAGAAGTTGTGTCAGTGTCGAGCGGAGGAGGCGGCTCCACTGTCGTGCAGAGGAGCGAGGGCGAAAGCTATTGCGCACTCGATCCTGACGAACGAGTCGAAGAAGGGGAAGAAGACCAGTGCACTCGTCGAGGTGGAAGGGTACAAATCGTGTGAAGAAGAGCTCTCCAGCGTGCGACCAGGCCACGCCGTAACTAAGGGAAGACTTGTTGTGCTTGAAGGAAAAATAAAAGAAGAGGGGAGGGCTTCGAGGGGATCCCTCGTGCGATTTGACATAAAGTGGCAGGGGAGTTTTATTAAGTGATTATATATATATATATATATATAAGTAAAATATAAAAATTGTTTAAATAAATAAGGTAAAGTTAATAGCTAATTAAAATAATAATTTATTTAAAGTTTTGTAATATAAATATCATGTTTATGTTATGTTTTCAATTTAGAAGAGTCGACATCAAGTCAATTCAAATAATAAGTTAATCGTCATTGATGTGAGTACTTGTATTTTTAATCTATGATAATATTTGATTCTTCTCCACTATTTTGCATTAGTAGATAATGATACTTGTACGAGTTTTATTTTGATTTATTTTTTTTCTTTATTGGTTATATTGTTATGAATATTTGTAGCTACTTACCATCATGCATTAGTGTATGTTATATATAATATATTGAATTAAATGTGATGAGCATATAAATGATATGTTTGTATTGACTGCTTGTATGTGCACAACTGACTATAATAGAGTCGCCTTTTTATGATACTAACACTTTTTATGACTATAAATGATATGTTTGTAATGATGCTTGTATGTGAACGTTAAGGCACTCATGATTTTATATGGAAAAAATATTGATATTAAAGTAATTTAAGTGATATAATTTCTATACAGTATTGCTGTGACGGCTGTACTAATATAGATATGTATAGATATAATATGATTCACTGAACATCTCAAATGTTTATATTAATTTATTAACCGACTTGTATATTGTTTTTCTTTTTTCTTATATTACTGTAGTTTAAGAGTGAATATTCATTAGCTTTGTTTAGTTTATTGTTATTTAAAATTAATTTTTCAGATTTTATTAAACGATTAAAAGATAGACGATGAAAGATAAAATGCTTATAAAAGACACAAACAACTAGTAACGATGCAAATTAAAATATATTGTTTAAATTTAATTTAATTAGTGGCTGTTTCATTTGTTAAATGATAGATGAATATAAAAAACTGAGTTCCCATCATCCGACCATTTGTGCACGCTTTAGTTAATTCCAAATATTGGGTTTGATCATGACAAAAGTGATATCATAACCATTAGGATAAGTTAATGTAACCTTGATGAAAAATCCAATAGGATAATTATAAGAAAATTTTATTAAAGTCATACCTAATAAAAATGCACTTACAAATTTTAAATCAAGCTTACTTCTAGATCCCAAATATATGGTTAACAATTAAATACTTTCAGGTGAGATAGATTTACCTATCTGCCACTTGAAGCTTTTTCAGGTAAATTTTCATTCAAATATATTGATGGGTCATGATTTATTAGAAAAACTATAGTGTCACTGTTTCTGCTTAAAACTACTTTGGCAAGTTTGCATGTAATATCATATTTATGGCACGCTCCGTGATGGTCCTATTCATGCTCTCATTATCTCATTAACATTGATTTGTTGTGGTATCCTTAGAACAGTAAATTCATGTTTGAACTCTTTTGAAACACAATTACACATGAATCTCTGATCACGATTCTCGCCACTATTATCTGATTTGAGACATTTCAACCTGAAAACTCTCTCTATTTTAACCATGGCTTTCCACTTCTTAAATTTATCAAACACATTAGATTTATGTTTTAAGAGGCACACCCATACCTTCTTATTGTGATCATCAATGAAAATGAAAGAATTGATAACATCCAGTTGGATCTCATACATCAGTATGTACTAAATTCAGTTTTTTAGATTTCAAATTTAACCTTATTTTAGAGAAAATAATCTTTTTTTGCTTGTCATAAACACATTATTCACTAAAATTTAAATTTATAAACTTTAAACTCTTAAGTTTCCTTTTAGAAAATAGAAACTTCGTATTTTTCTCACTCATATGACCATGCTTACAGTGCCAGAGATCTGCATCAGCCTTTTTTCCAGCTTCTCTAATCGTTTCAGACATCTCATTAATCAGATAAATGGTACCTTCAATTTTTTCTCAAGCTGTCACCATTGCCTCTTTAGTCATCTTCCACGAATCACCTGTGAAAGTGGGCACATACTCTAACCTTTCATGCTTACTCAGAAATCATATTTCTTTGCCAACATATAATCCTGTTCAGTTTTCATTATGATCTATTTGATAATCTGATATCAACACCACTCTTTTCGAAAATACTCCAGGACTTGTTATCGTTCAAATACACTTTCCCTAGATTACTTGAGTATAGTTTTTGAACACTTCTTTGTTAGGGAAAATATGACAAGAAACACTTAAATCTACTATCCATGATTCAGTATTATCTCGGGACAAAATAAGAGTTGCCTTTGATTTCATCTGTGTAAACATTTGTAGAAAACATTTTATATGGACCTCCACCACTAATCTTCTTCGGAGCTTTTTAGTTCTTTTTAAAGTGATTATTCTTCTCGTATTTTTAGCATTGAACTCTGTCTTTTTATTTTTCTAACTTGGACTTTTCTCTCGTGGACATGAATCTCTCTCTGCTTATGTTTCTATCCAGATTCCATCATCTAGTTTCAACATTCAGAGTAGAATTTAGAGTTTCACTACTTGTCTTTTTGTGAACTTCTTCATTAAGCGCTAACCTTGCAGTTTCATTTGATTTTAATTTCATATTACCTAAAGAGTTACTCACTGCAGTAACTTTTATCCCAGCTATCTGACAATGAAGATATAAGTGATAACACCCTTACCTGACATCAAACTTGATGCCAAAAAAACCCTCCTGGTTTGTCACAGTGTTGAAGTTATTCAAATGTCTTGTCACTAAGCTACGATTCACCGTCTTCATAATCAATAACCTTTTTATTATCAAGATTTTGTTTGAAGTCGAATGCTTCTCATACATTCTTGTTAGATAGCCATGAGATCAATAGTCTTCACATTCAGAATGTTGAAAGCAACCTATGAGGAAAGTTAATATCGAATCAAACTTAGTGATGTTCAATCAAGAACTTCCCATTCTTCAAGAGTCATCGATTTCGGCTTCTTAGTGATTCAATCCAATGACAAGTATAGTTTCTTTTGCTATGACAAATCTTCAATTAATGATTTTTCAAAAATTAAAGTTTGAACAATTGGACTTCTCAGTCTTGTACTTAACTTCGTGGGCCATTGTTCACACTCGAATCAAAGAATTTTAGAAAGCCCGCTCTAATACCATATATTGCAGGAGATATGCAAGACTGATTCAAGAGATTCAAAGCCAAATTTAGAACAAAAGTGCACAAAAAAAAACACACACACACACACAAAACACCATATTAATGTGGAAAACCCGAGAATGGAAAAAAAAAATCATGGTGTCATACCACACCAAGAAATTCACTATGAAAAATGAGGTGATTTATATAAATTACACAACACTCAAGTTTCTCTTCAATTTGGAACGTAAGAACACTAATTTTCATCTTCCTTACATAGAAGAACTTTAAAATCCAACACCCCTTCGTACACAGATCCCACAACAAAGTTGTAATTTTAATCCTTGAAATGCTCGAATGCAATTACTGGCGTTGGGCGCCGTGATTGGATGCCCCTTCCTAACGTTAAGGCATTGGTGTGTTGAGTGCTCTATTTTTGGACCTGTCTATGTACCTAGGTTTGGCTCAGTGGCTCCCCCTCCTGGTGTTGGAACTTTAAACACTCAGGTTCCAAGTGTTGGGGCGTTTCGGCGCTTGACACACAAAAAAAAAAAAATTTAGGGGCAACGCCCTTGAGCTTGTTGAGGCGCCATGATTGAACGCCTTTTCCTAGGGCTGGGGCGTTGGGGTGTTGAGCAATCTGTTTCTGGATCTGTATATGTACTTATGTTTGCCGCAATGGCGCCTCCTCCTAATGTTGGAATGTTAAGTGCTAGAGTTCCAAGTGCTGGGGCGTTACGGAGCTCGACACAAATTTTTTTTTTCAGGGCAATCCCCTTGAACCAGTAAAAGGGATTACCCCTCTTTATGCCCCTCCCTCTTCCAATCCTCATCCCCCTTGCGAGCAAACTCACCTCAAGCTTGATCGGTGAAATTGAGAGCTTTGAGTGACAAATCGATCAACACACTTAGACTCCGCATCATGACAGAGCATGAGCCAAACCTTCTAAAGTTCTAATGTACACAAGGTTAAATTGGCTAATGGGCTCAGGATATTGCCCATGAACCCATCCTTTAATGCCAATTTGAAGCCCCATCACAATCCGCAGAAATGCTCATCAGTGGACTTAGAATTAAAATAAAATAATATTGGATCTGTGATATGATTAACTCAAATCTTAAAAAGTTAAATAAATTTACTTAAAGAAAAAATATTTTTTTGAATAGTATGTGTATATAATATTTTCATAATTATTATTAATTTTTGGTTTGCTCCAATTG